TGGTGGTGGGTGGTGGTGGTGGTTCACAAACCCGGCTTTAAATGAAAGGTCTGGAGGTGGATAGAGAGATGTCCAAAACTAAGAATCTAGAGAACACACACATATATGAAAGAACATTAAGAGCACACGCATGAGAGCACACACGTGAGCACATATGGCAGCACAGATACATACATATATATATATAATTATATATATAGTGTATACACATATAAATCATATGTATAAAGAGCGCGCTATAAGAGCACACGTGCTGCACCTCCCACGAAATCTACACTTCAAGGTCCACAAAACACTGCTGCGAAATCCGTGCCTCAAGGTTCACAAAGCACTGCCCTTGCCACGAAATCTGCACTTCAAGGTTCACAAAGTATTGCGCCTGCCAAGAAATCTGCACATTAAGATTCACATCAGGCAGCCCTGCCAAGGCGACTTCCAGCAAGAGCACATCCAAAGACAAAATCAAGATACCAAAACGCAGCTTTCGCCTCCGATTTCCAAAAACGAGCCACGTGTCCAAAAGTCACGGTTCACTGCACCTGCCGGACTTGCCACGAAATCTGCTCGTCGACGTAGAACCACTCAGATCTCATCCATCTGTCACGAAAAGTCGACTTTGGACCTGACCAAAACACGAGGTAGCCCTTGCGCCTGCCACGAAAAGTGATCACCAAGCCTGAAAATGTGCACAGCACCACAACGAGAGTGCAGTCTCGAAGAATCTCAAAGAGCACGCGCGCCAGCCCACCAGATTCTGCGAGCCTGCACGGTCGAAATGCACTTCCAAGATCTCGAGGTGAATGAATGTATACGGTAAACAGCAGCAACTTAGCCGCTGGCGCTTGCAAAGCCCCTCGATCAAACACCCGTCCTTAACTATTACCATAAGAACCCCAAGTGCCACCACACTGTTTGGGGAAAAACACAAATACCTGGACCCGCTTCAAGCCTTCAAGCACCACATAGATAATGCGACATGCCGCTATAAGAACAAACAGGTAGATCTGTACCCAGTTTTCAAAAATATTTTGCGACTCCAGGTATTCACCAAGCGCAATCTCTTGCAAAATTTCACTTTGAAATCGGGTACCAAAAGATCCAAGAAGGGCTGGGTATTTTCATGTATTTTCTGTAGAAGGGGATGATGGAACCCCCCCCGGCCGCGGCCCCTAGAAAACGCTAACTGCCCTGCCGTCCGGTCCCTCCAAATCGGAGTGCACGTCTTGTCGACGTGCCATCACTTGGACTTGCTCCGTCAGGAAGCCGGGAAACAAGAAGTCTTCCAGCAGGTTTGGGGATTGAATATATGCCATGTATTCCATATATGGGAGAAAAAAGTACAACTGAAGCAATACCATGAAAATACACTGTTCAAAACAAAACCAGGTCACGCAGTGCGCGGTCGTCCAGGTCGCGGGGCAAACGGAATTCCAACAACTCGAGGAAGACCTGGGGCAGGTGGTGTCGGTAGTTGGGTGTGTTTGCAGATCTGTTCTTCTCGAAGTGTACGTATACCACAACCAAAAATTGGATGCAACTAATTAATTGAACGTACCCAGAACTTCCGTTTTGACTCATTTGACCCCACCTCTATATATCAGGACCGCACTACCCTACACTACTAATTTATAGAGATGTCCATTGGACACCCATTCGATGGTCCTGGTATATATCAAAATTACATGTTTGCACCACATGTGATTACAACATGTTGTGCTTTGCTTCTTTTTCTGAAGAATCAATGTGGAAAACGGAAAACCGGTCACATTCTTGACCGAACCAAACCAAACCCCGCTCTATGTTCACCACCCGAACAACACGAGTGGTGCTGGATAAAAAGGTACTCCACACAGTCTTGGACCTCATCTTCCGTTTGGCACCTTACCACGGACAAATAAACCTTCTCAGCAACTGCAGGAAATTAGCAAAGCAAAACTTCCAGCCACATGGTTCCCATCATGCATGAACCCAATGGCATCTCATGCATCTCTCTGTTTGATTTTTTTCCAGAACGCACCCAAGCAGGTTTTTGTTGTACCGAACTTGAACAACATCTGCTGTCTGCTGTGTCATGTCCTGTTTCTCTGGGGCACAAGCTTGAAGCAGCTAGAGTACTGATACTGATGCCTCCAAAACGTTTCAAAAAAGGCTTAGACAGAAGTAAATCCATGGGGCTCGCACGCGCGACTGCACAAAACGCTTTCATATTCCTGGATCTTCCAGCTACAATGCAGAAATGTCTGGTTCGGCAGAAATTACGCATCGTTCGTTGGAAGATCTCAGGTATGGCAGGGCCTGGCCTGGACAAAGTCATTCAGAGGCAATTCTTGCGCTTCAGGTTCTTCGGGAGGCACCACCTCGGAGGCTCCGGTTCAACAACCGGTTCTTCCGAACGTGGGATGTGAGGAGCGGACGAGGACGAATGAAAAGACCTCCACTGGATCCTTCGAGACCCGACCAGATCGGCTGGCCTCACCTGGCCTTTTGGAATGGCCCCTCGCGGCTTCGTGGCGTCTCGCAGCTGGCTGAGCTGAGAAAGTCTTAGCCAGTGGACTTTCAATACCCAAAGGCTCAAAGTCTGGACCCGTTCCCCGCTTGCTTGGACCGAAGCAACATGTAGGCTGGTTCGGGTCCAGGGCTGAGCACCCTTCGGACCTTCTACTTCGCCCACCTACTTCCGCGGAAGTTTGAGCTTGGTCCTGTTCTCACGTGTTGTCATCGATGGCACGCCACAGAAATCATTTCCATGTCTGCGGTTAAGAGCATGCAATCGCATGCTCCACCCATCACACCACTTCTGGAAGCCCAAATCCCTGCTGTTTTTGTTCTCATCAACATACACTCGGGAAGATTAACATGGAACCTGGGTTGTAGAGGAAAATAGTCTTCCAAAGGTCCATGCCATCAGGTTCCATGTTAGTTTTCGGGAGTGTTCTTATAGACTTTGTAGTCCACTGAGAAATCGCATTCCCAACCATTCCCAACCATTCCGACATTCCGTCCCCAGGATTGGATCTTCCAACTGCAGGATGTCTGAACTTCATCCAGACCGACCAGCTTCGTCCGATGTTTTTGTTGCACCTCAGTAGCCTACAGGGCCTCCGTTCATTCACTTCTGCTGCAGCACCCCTGATCCTCGGACGCGAAGCCCTTCCGCGGCACGCGAACCCGACGACCCTCGGGGCCTTGCGGAAGGTCGGATCCTTTTCGGTGAGCTCCTGCACCAAACGCCCTTCAGCTTCCACCTGCACGCACGCCCGAAGGGACGGGGCCAGGGAGGGGCGGCCAGGGGCCAAGGTGTCAAGGAGCCCTGCAAAGCCCTGCGGCCCTGGGAGCAGAATGCATTGAAGATGAAAATGAAGATGATGAATCTTGTAGAAAACCATATTGTTGTATACTAATTCACTACAAACTGCAACCGATTAATGGTGGAAGGCTAGGGAAGTGCGAGCGGCGCATATAAGGAACAAAGAAATCAGAAGAGGCTTCACCCATCGTGAAAAACAAGTACAGCAAAGCCAGGAGTGGCTTTCAGGTCCAAAGAGGACTTGGAGTTCGTAGCTGTTGGAGCAACAAACAACATGAGATTCAAACTCTGAAACGACCTGGATCCAATTTCAAGTTCCTTAGAACAGGGCTCAATGGCCCACAAAAACAGGTACTAGTAACTATTTTCGGAGGTACAAATTGAGACTTGAAGGGAGATTCAAACTCTCACCTAGTCGCACTCCATCTGAAAGCTGAATCTGACATAATCTGACAAACCCTCAGCTTTGCAAAAAAAGGTTTGGCACCCCAAATCCAGCTGTCCCTCACCACCTTGCCCATGCCACGGCAGCTCTGCCAGCTTTGAAGCTCCAAAGCCGCTAAACCACCGACGACTCGTCTCTTGGACTCGCTCGGCTCGACGGGCGCGTCGCCATGCAAGGCTTGCCGCGCCAGAGCACAGCAACGGAGCTGGTCCTGGCGAGGACAAGCCGAGCCAAACTTCCGGGGCTGTAAGGGACTGAATGAATTCTGAGTATCCGATGCCAGGGTACGGATATACAAAAAAATATATATAGCAGCTATAGCACTGAGTTAGAGGTAAAATGAATCAAACTTGGACATCCAGATTTGTTTTGGCGATGGGTTTCACCTGGTTTCACTGTTGGTCCCCCAAGCAGTCGAACGTGTGGTCGAACATGCCGGCGCAGGTCTAAGCTCTTGCTTGAACATCATGAGACAGAAGCCCGCGCTGGCCCCCGGTGCGGTTTCTGGGTTTCTTTGGGGTCCTATGTTGGGGGAGTAGAGATCCATCTCTAACACACATATGACCACAATGGTGGACCTGATTAACGGATCTCTCCTCAAAGCAAATCATCAGCTGCGGGCGCTGCAGCCATCCAATGGCGGCAGTGAACCTGAATGCCAAACCAATGGGCAAAAAGCCAGGCTTGAAAAAGATGGGATTCCAAGCAGTCCAAGCACCATTGATTTAATTGCCTGAGCCTGAATCCAGAACATTCCAGAACAACAATCAGCAAACATCAACAACCTTTGAACAGATCCGCTGCCAACCTCTGATGTGATGTGTTCAACTCTTTTGTGTAGGATGTGTAGGCGGTCTTGGTTGGAGTGGTGGTGGATCCCTAGGAATTGAGGAGTCAGTGCCGGGTACAATTTTTTGCCGGAGTTGGCTGTACAATGTTGGCTGCAAATCGTGGTTGTAATGATGGCCACCAGGCTTTTTCCGAGGTTTATCATTGAAAGGAAGGTTCCAACCGCCCTTCCCTCGGATTTGAGTATATGGACGGATACCATTGGAATCCATTGGATATGTCTTGATTCAAGAAATCAGAAAGCAAACCAGGAGAAACAAATTGCACTCTCCTGGCAGGTGTCTGATGTAAATCTGTAATACGCGATCTTTGGAGGAAAATACCTGTCCACATGGTGACCTCAACCTCGGCCGAACTTTGACACTCTACTCATGTTCCAAGCCATTGGGCATCCATGGCCCATCGGCAACAAGGTTGTACACGAACTCCAGGTTCAAAAACCGATTCTCAGGATTCCTGGCCCAGCGGCTTTAAAAAAAGAAACACACACACACAAACTCCAGCAGTTCGAGTTGGGGGCAACAACAACGACCAACAACAACAACAATAATAATAACAACAACTCCGGCAGTTCGAGTTGGGGGCTGGATGAGGGTTAGGGGTTAGGGAATGGAATTGGGACTCAACACCACGCCGACACGGGGTCCTCGATCATTGGTTTCCCAAAGAAATATAGATTATACATGATTATAAAATCATTTATATGAATTAAGGAATATGATATATAGTGTTTACCCTTTTTACATGAGTTCCCAAAGAAACATATACTTTACATACAACTTAAAACCAGGTGAACCATTCCTCGAATGGTCGAACTGTTGTGGCCCATGAATTCTCGCCGGGTCACCGATCCTGCGCGTTGGCATCGTTGGTGTATCCAAAGGATTGGCGCACGCGGTCATAGACCACCGTCGCAGCCTGTACGCTCACGGGAGAAGCAAAAGCAGCGCGTTTAGAGAGTAGGGGTGGCTGGTTCAAATGTTTCAAGAGTTGATTGTCAATGGTCAATGTATTCCAGCCGATAGGGGTGGTTCAAATAATTCAAGAGCTGATGGTGAACTTGAGAGAGGAGGGGGTGAACGAAAGGTAGCAGGCAATCACAAGCAACCCGGCGTGAACCGGCGCAAGGGGGATTTGATCCAGGGGGGGGGGCCCCCCCCCGACGAACAGAATCAACTCTTACAGGACCAAATTCAATGCACAATCCCAACTCCTGATTGTAATACATGTTTGCTAAAGCAAGGAGAACTCAGGTAGCTCAAGCTACCTTTCGTGATGATGGTCAAATTTTATTAAGTTTTTTGGAAAGTGTCCGGGAGCTGAAGACATGGCGTCATGGTTGCAATGAATTCATCAGCCCATACTCCACACGTCTTTGTACCTGGAGTTGGAAAATGGGTACCAGTACCTGTCTTTATAGGGTCATGTCCCATTTTCTAAGGTACTTGAAGTCAGGCCCAGGTATGTAGTATGTATATTTATATATATATTATATTTTTTTTATATCATATCTTCTCAAACTTTTCATCCAACCCGCCCATCATGGCCCAGAATGGCCTCCAGAAGGTTCGAGGAGCACATCACATTGGCAAAAGTTGGAGAAACACCCGACAGGACAATCCTCACCTCCTGCGCGCGTCGAAAACTGGCACGTTGGCACGTTTTCGCGTGTTCGCGAAGCCACCAAGTGCTTGGGCATTCCTCGAGGCTCGGTCTGAGCCGGGTTTTCCGCGGCTTTGCAGCGTTGTGACGTAAGGGCAGGGGCTGATCAATGACCACTGCGTAAGGTTGTAGCAGATTGGAGGCCGAGTGACCCACCTTTCTTGGATTTAAGAAAGCAGGAGTCAACTGGGGGTCTATCAATGAGGTCGGGTCTGTTTTTGTGCGAAGAGGTCGAGTTCAATAAGTCTGATGATTCCGCTCCAGCCAAGCACCCCCCTTGCTTTTTCCGCACAAATCCAAGCACTCAAGTGGGAGGCACTCGCCAGCTCGGTGTTCCATGAAAGAGGTGTGAGTTTCATGAAGAGAAGAGTTGACTTCCAGGGGTCACAAACGGGTGGTTTGTAGTCCCTAAGTGAGTGGATAATGGGCACTCCTATCCTCCAAGTTCGGCACCCCTTTGTGACTCCTGGTTGACTTATTATACTCTGACCAACCTCACCATCATATTTGATCCTCCATAGCAGCAAGCTGGCTTGGATGGCATACCAACGCTTCAACCAGCGGAGCACAACCCCCAATGAAGCTCCAACGATCCAGTTCCCACACGCCCCAGGTCCGACGCATCAGCTCCGACACGTCTGAAACCAGGTCACCGGGTCGAGCCGTCCCAGTCAGGCCCGGTCCGGTCGTCTCCTCCCGGGTTTCGGCCACGTCATAGGCCAGGATGCTCAAGCGTTGACCCATCTGCATGGATCGCCGCATCAGCTCCTGCGGTTGGCGCGACCGCGCGACAGGCCGCTTCAGCTTCGAAACCCACCCAAGTGGATGACACCCGTTAGAGGAAAAGCCAGGGACCAGGAACAGAACCCTGGAAGTTCAATCCAATATAGTGGATTGAGAGTAGATGGCACAAACCCCAATGTCGGTGGTTTGTATGAACCCCCATGTAAAGGACATCGGTTTCGGTCTGTGCCATCGAACCTCTGAAACCACGGTCTGACATGGCTCGAACGCCGTCCTAGTTTCGATGGCTCGCCTCGAACCCCAACGACCGGAGCCCAAGGTTGTTGCTTCTCAACATGACCGGAGTTGGGATGTCGCGAGCGCCGAGCTATTCTTCGGTCCCTTGAAGTGCCTAGTGGATCTGAGTGGAGTGTCTTCCAACTCCCAGTGGATCATGGTGGCCAGCAACATCCAGCAACTAGGAAGCTTGGATGTGCAGCTCGCAGGAAGCGGGGAAACAAACAGAAACACATGTTTTTCAACAAGTTTGGGGATGTCCTCAGAAAATGAAACCTCATCTGACCCGCAAAATTATGTAAAGAACCAGGGGCCTCTTGCCAGTGAGTCTATGGTTTGGGTGGTAAGGCCCTGGAACGCCTGGTGACCTACTCTGGAAGAAGGTTGCCCAACCAAGTGGGTCCTTCTTTTAACAGGAAACATGGGGATCCCCTGGACGGTGAACCTGTGTTTGCGCCATCAACTATGAACTCAGAACAGAGATAGACTGCTCTATTGCCTTCAGTCAAAGTTGGTAGTTGCCATTGGGTCAGAAAGGAGTCGGAGTCGAGTCTTCCAAACATCAGGGTTTCAAAAAAGAACATTATGAACAACAAAAACACATGAGTGTTCATACTTGGTGAGGGTGGAACATTGTTTAAAGTGCAGGCAGTGCAGGAGTATCATCTTGAGATACCGTTTCAAATGGATTGTTACTTTAGCAAACCTTGCCCCATCTCGATGCGTCGATGGTGCAAAAAAGGGACGGCACGAGCGGGAGAAGCAGGATACCTGCATGCTGCATACCCAAACACTCCATTTTAGAATCTATGCTGGTGTCAACGTCTATGTACATTGAATAACAACTATATATTACATACTGTATATGTTATTATATACTGCATGTATATTATATACTGTATTTGATGTCATATTACATATAAACCAGCCTCATTGAACCCATGGAGATGCTGTGCCATGTTTGTCGAAAACACTCTTTTCCCCGATCTCGTCTCCCTGGGCAGCTGATGAAGTTCTTGACGTGCCAGGAGCTCTTTCAAGACCTCTGTGCCGATCAACAGGAGTCCTCTGTCGTCGTCAGATCTGCTGCATCGAGTCGTTGAGGAAAGGTAAAAGGATGTTGTGTTTGGAGACCAACTTCAACTTAGGGGAGTTGCAAAATGGATGACACTTCCGGTGGAAGAGTAGATGGTGATATATGGTGATGCGTGGACAAATCCATTGAAAGTTCCCTGCGGATCCCTGCGGACTGTACGCCATGTACCAACTCTATAACCTTGTGCTAAGCCTGGTATTATGCCTACAGGGGGGGCACAAGCGAATGGCTTCAAAGGCATTGCCACTGGCATTGCCATATCCGCCGACCCCAGCTGATGGGGAGGAGCGCGCCAGAGAAGCCACACAGAAGTTCAGTTTTTGAATTTACAGAATCTTGCGCGACCTGTGCCACTGATTGACCAGCTTCGGGGGCTAAAGACACCACTCCTGCACGTCTTTCACGCCTCGGAAAAAGCCACGTTTGGCAGTGACCAAGCAGCTTCGGGGACCATTTAACACTGACTCCTTTTTCTGGAAAGCAACGGTTGGCGGGTGCACTTGGACTTGAGATGGGCTGCTGGACAGGCTTGGAAGAAGGGCCTGAGATATATAGAGACTCTTTGCTGGCTTCCAAAGCAACGTTTGGCTTGACCAACCACCTTCGGGGACCATTTGCCAAGGCAACGACATATGCTGCCGCAAAGGAAAGCTGTTGCCACGCAGCATCAGCGTCATCGAGTAATCCATCCACCAAGACCAGGCCAAACGCACATGACCGATTGCCAACTTGGCGGCCTGATCCCCGTCCTATTCTGACATCCTGATGCTGCCCCAGTCCTGTTCTGATGGTGCCCCCCAGTACAGTTCTGATGTCCTGTTCTGATGGTGTCCCCCAGTACAGTTCTGATGTCCTGTTCTGATGCTGCTCCAGTCCTGTTCTGATGGTGTCCCCCAGTACTGTTCTGATGGTGTCCCCCAGTACAAGTACTGCTCTGATGGTGTCCCCCAGTCCTGTTCTGATGCTGCCCCAGTCCTATTCTGATGGTGTCTCCCAGTCCTGTTCTGATGCTGCCCCAGTCCTGTTCTGATGGTGTCCCCCTGTCCTGTTCTGATGGTGTCCCAGTCTGTCCTCATGGTGTCTCGTCTTTTGGTTCTGATTTTGTCCCCGTCCTATTCTGACAGTGTCCCAGTCATGTTCTGATGGTGTCCCAGTCATGCTCTGCTGGTTTTCCCGTCCTGTTCTGATGGTATCCCGCTCTTGTTTGTGAGGGGTCCGGGTCATGCTCTGATGGAGTCCCGGTCCTGTTCTGATGGTATCCCCCTATATAACCTTTTCTGATGGTGTGCAGAACAAAGAAAAAGTACAGGAGGGCATCCTGTAAAGCCCTGGAACTTGCAGTAGATTTAAATTATGTACTGCAATGGAATTGCAATGAATTACATGTACGCATATGACTTTGTGAGACAGAATGAAGAAACATCAAGACCTCGCACGAAGTTCTCAAGTTTTGCAACACCACTGCCTTCCACCAGGTTGTATGCTCCGAACTGTTCGGGTGTACAACTTCTTCTCGGGAAGGACCACAACAAGGTTTACAACAACTTCTACATGCCAGCAGATCTGTCGGGGGGCCAGTTCCGAACGGAGGAAGTCGAGGTGCCCCTGTCACATCCACGGCCCCTGGATGGAAGAAAAAGAACCCTTCCGACCTAGAACTGCTGGTGTTCCACCGCTTGGATTGGCGGAAACAGCGATGGCTTCGGGCCATCGATTTCAGGGTCCTGCTTGTAGCAAAGCTAGGCTCACCCAAACCTGCGGGACGGGCACCGGTGTGTCAAACACGGGGGTTGCGGACGGGGACGGAGAGATGGATTGGGCGGCGTTGGCTGCCCGTTTGGATTGTAAAGCCATGTAAAAAGTGATTCTTAAGGTTGTTATTCATCAAGAGTCTACACTAGCTGGTGTGTCTCAAAAACGGAAGACCCTCCAAATTGCAGGAAAGCAAGGGTGGCTTCCTTTAGGAGCAAACCCGAAGCCATGGACGCTCTTGTAAACATCTCCCATTGGCTCTTTTGAATACAAGTGAGCAATGATCAAAATGAATATAGAACAAATGGATAGTAGGAACATGTCACTGAACATGTCATAGCTCCTTGACGTTCCGTGGAAAAAAAACACAGCCAATTCCACGAGGTCGATGTCCGATCTCTTCACCTCCATGGGGATCATCATCAAGAGGATCACCAACTGTCCTGAAGCGGAGGGAGAGCGCTCCGCTGCCGAGCCGCAAAGGGAGAGCCCGGGCGGCGTGGCTTGCCGAACCGGGGATGAACATCCAACACCAACGTGGTTCCTACACGGAAGCATTCCATGACCGTTGACCTGTTCGTTGTTGTAAGATTCCGTCAAACACGGGGATTTGGGGACCAATGCCTTGAAATCGTTGTTGGAAGCCTAGGGACTCTATACATCATATTCCATACAATATAACAACATTACTACACATTATATCCCTAATATTCCCCAGCCCAAATGCTCCAACCAGACCTTGGTCCGTCAAAATGGATTTCAGAACCTGGTCCGCCATCTACTGGTTCGGAAGGTTCGGGAGTGTCTGGTAGAAGGGACTTGACCCATCAGTTATACCTAGATCCACCGCTATGTGAAAATAATGTCGTTTGGTGGAACTACAATCTTTATTGTCGTTTAAACGAAGAACTGCCGTTTGAAAAAAAAACTGTCGTTTGCCCTTCGCCCAGTCCGCGCCTCGATTCTTGCCAGCTCTCTTGGGAAGATGATCTTGGAAAATAGGTTGAAGTTAAGATTATTTAAGATCTAAAGTTCTTGACTATAAGATAGTCTATGTTTTCTGTACCAAGTGGTTGGCTTTCAAGCCTTGGGTTGTCAAACAGTCCCCTCAAGAACCTGAAAGGCTCATCATCCTAGATATACCTAGACATAGTAGTCGAGCTTTGCCACCTCCCCCACGTGACCTTCTCATCTTCGAGCACTTCATGTCCTTTGCTCGCTGGGGCCTCAGGGGCTTTGAAGGCCGGACGACCTTGGAGCTGGCATTGGACTTGCGATAGCGGCGGTGAAGCATGTAAGCTTTCACTAGAAAGCATTGTAAGACTCGGCCACTGATTCCTCTTGAGTCTAGCCTCCTCGATAAACGAGCAAGCCTCCCGACACTGTCTTCATTGCCCTCACAGTTGTAACACAAAGGGCTCAACACCACCTGCGATCCTCGTGAGAGTTGGTGGCGGATTTCCACTAATGTGTGTTTCCACATGTGCTGTTTAGGTTTGATGGCAAACAGGTTCATGGAGCCAAGACAATGCTGGGCCAGAAGGCAGTAGCCAGCCATGAAAGAGTTCCCATCACGACACAAGGCAACAGCGCACTGCCGATCAAGAAATAAACCATGTAGATACATGCGGTCGTAGTAGCTCAAGGCGGCGTGAACTGTTTGACACATCAGCTGGAGGACAGCCCGGTCGCCGGAGCTGGTTGAAGGGTCAACCTGGAAACCAGTCAGTTGCACACACAGCCATCGGCACAGAAGTACTGTATCGCTTCCCTTGGTGTTGGTCCAGGGAAATGAGCGCCGAGACTTGTAGCAAAACAGATTCTTTGAGAAGCTGCGCAAAGCTGGGCTTGCACCCACACCATTGCAATACAACCTGAAGGCACCAAAAGCAGTGATCAATTTGCTTGGCACATCACCCATGCCAAAGAAGCCCTTCTCTAAACACCAAAAGACACAGCTCCCAACCACATCCCTCAAAGTGCCAAGCTTGCCAATGTGGAAAGGGTCTTTCTGGTAAAACGACTCTGGCGCTGCATCGTTGAAGGGGATTTGGAGAAGAACTGGGTCAGAAGTCCATGGCCTGCTAACGTGAACGGTCTGCTCCCAAACTGGAAACTCTTGGAAATCCTCCCAGCTGATGCCTGGGGAACCCCCCAGGCACTCGTGACAACACTGCAGGTCTCTCACCCTGCCCTGGTTTTCGTAGGACCTGGAAAGGCCACCAATCTGCGTGTGCCACTTCATGTCCGCTTTCAAGCCTAACATGGCGCAACAAAAAATATGATTGTGGGGACCAACAACTCCTTCGTAGAATAAGGCCTTGAGCTGCTGGGCAAGCATCTTGTGGAAGCTGTATGCAATGTCAGGATTCTGTTTGTATACTATTCCAGGGATGACGACCAACGGCCATCTTTGCAAGAAGGAATGCCCTTTTGTGTTGGTTCTCATGTTCTGAACTGCACGCAGGGCATCAGGTCCAAGAGAATTGGCAGCGTGGCCAGGTTGTGCCTGGTACTTGTTAAGCTCCATGGGTGACGGGTGACAACCACAATCTCTTTTCCTTTTCTTGGACGGAAAATCTAGGCCAAAAGGTGTCTCCAGACTCACTATCATTGTTCCAGTTCTTCTCTTTCCACGGCCTTCATCGCCGTGGAGAAGGAGTGGAAGCGTGTAAGCCAGATCCGAATCATGGGTTGTGTAGACTTTGTGACTTGGGTGGAGCTGCCTGTAGGCAGCCCAAAAGGACTGTAGATGCACTGCACGATCATGGTCAGAGAAATCGCCACCCAATAAAATATCAGGTGTGTTGTTCAACAAAAAATGTATCAAATCCTTGGGAGCCAAGTATTTGAGAACCACAATCTCCCCATTGGAGGCAGTCCATTCAAACGTGCTCAACGGAACTCTCCATCCAATACCAAACTTGTGAAAAGTACGCCAGGCAGTTCTTTGGGCGTTTTTTTTCCAACCACCTTTCGCTCCGTCAGCATCGCTGAGGTCACCCCTTTCTTCCATGGCAGCACGGCGCATCCCGCCAGCTGTGACGGCTGGAACCTCAGCGAAGGGAGGCAAATGCGGAGAAGACCTACAGTAGCTCAGCAGACCAATAAGGAGCGGGCCCCGTCAGCAATAGCTTCAGCATAGCTGTGTGTCAAAGGGCCAGCCACGGGCTCTCCACCTGGCTCGCATTTTTGTTAAAGGAACGATAGCTGGCTATTGAAGAAACAGTCAACGGCTTTGCCATTTGTTTCTTTTGCTGCAGCTCGTTCCAATGCCCGATGAAGGTCGTTTGTGTGAAATCACACACGTCAAACTTGAATTGCTTCATCCAAAGTTGGTGACCGAAAAACAAAGGCAAAAGTTTACATACAAGTGAAGCAGAACAACTATTTGTCACCCAACAAGTCACCAACCATTGGTAATCCCCCCCTCAAACAACAGTGACTCAGCTTTTGGCCCGCTTTCCCGGGGCTGAATCAGGCTCAGAGGCATTGGCGGTCTGCTTTGCCTTGGCCTTGGTTTTGGCCTTGGGAGCACCCGCCTTAGCCTTAGCCGCCTTAGCCTTGCCTCGGGCACGGCCGGCTCGGTTCTTCCGTGTTGAAGATTGACTCACTTTGGGCAGAAGAGACCTGCACGGAAGGTATGGGTGACGCTTGACCATGCTGTGCACAAAGGGGAAATGAGCCTTGTTCGGTGTTCAAAGCTCATGCCCTCCATCGCCCTGGCGAAGGAAACAGGTGAACAAATTGTGTTTCTTGGCCAACCCTAGCTTTCAACATTGTAAAATCTCCACATGCCTTCTGCGGGCATCACCGTACAAGCGTTCGATGGTCTTCTCTGACCTTTGCAGCAGCTATGGCAAACACAGATGGGAAGAAACTATTTGACATTGAAGCAAAACAAGCAACCCCACAAAGGTCATAAGGTGGGTACTCCTTCGAGAAACCATCAACAACACCCGCAGTGTATTGCTCGTCAATGCTCACGCTGCTTTGGTTGAGGTCAGTGATCAGCTGGTTGAGTTTGTCTCGCATCCTGAGCGTAACTCTTCAGCTAGGCTAACTCTTGGACTTAGCTATTTGTGTACGCTAAGTATTGCCTGCGCTAACTATTGCCTCAGCAAATCTAGCTGTTCGTAGCTATACAAAAATGTTCAACAAAACTTCCTTTGATCAAGAATGACCAAGAACACAAATCCAGCCAATAGTCTTTACCTGCAAGTCCGTAAGCTTCGCATCACCACCGAACCTCTCGGCGAGGTCTTGGAGCTTCTTGACCCGCTTTGAGATGCAGGCCCTGGGCTGGGAGTTTATCAAAAGCGAGTTCCCGGCTTTGAGACGCAGACCGTTTTTTCTGTTCCATAAAAAAGCACAAAGCGCATTCAAACACAGAAGTAGAGGTTGGCAACGGCGAGCAAGTTTTAGTGATACAAAAGCGTGCCAAAGGCAAGCTAACGTTTAAAAGGGTCTTGGACCAACCAAGACTCAGCATTTTGGTCGCAATGCTTGAAGGAAGAGCATCATGTTCCAAGTCAGGAATCCCAGCCTTTTTCCTCTCTGAACGGGCCAAGTCTTCTGCTGCCAAGGCCTCCGCGTCCTCTCCAGAGAGCTCTTCATCCGAGGACAGCTCCTCACCTTTCGGCGCAAATCATGAGATACTGACTGGAGTTTGGGTGAAGGAGCTGCAAATTTGGGAGAATGACAATTCAGCAGCAACGTGTGCATGTCAAGCCTTCTTCTGGTTCTGGCGCTTCTCGTTTCTCAGCTTTGGAATGAGCTTTGGAATGGGAATCCCTGGAAGAGTTGGCCTTCAGAGACGGTTTCGGGGGAACGCCGTCAGTAGGAACACTTTGCACAGGAACTGGGGCTTGCTTCGGCAACGGCAGCATGGACCCACCCGGAACAAGGCCGGCGGGTTCCATGAACTTGGAAAGGTCCTTGCTGTCGGCCACCTGCTCCAAGTTCAGCCGTCGGTTGACTTGGAGTTTGTTGGATCTCCTTGGGACCGCATACAACTACTTCATTTGAGTCATCCCTCAATTGCACGTAAGTCTTATTCTTTCACACGGCTCGGGGTCGAAGTGCTGATGATGACTTCATGGGAACTTGATAGAACAACCAGCTTTGCAAACAAGGCTCTTACTTTGACCCTTGATGCAAGTCTCAGCCCAATAGAGTACTTTGTTGGGCTCGTATTTGTCTCGCCTGCCATGGGCGGTGATGCCAGCAGCAAGCTGTTCAAGTTGGCAACAACTTTCCAATGTTTTGGGGTCCGATTTAGGGCCTGGTTGCATTTTGGGGAGCCTGTTTTTAGAGCGCTACATAGGTGGCAACGTAACTCTTTCAGATCCCAGCGGCCCCAAAACGGATCCCCAAACCACTTGGAAAACTGCCAAAAGTTCAAGTTGCTACTTACCAATGCGTCGAAACCAGCAAATCTAGCCTCATGAGGTTTTTGGGGTCTTCGCGAGCGGCTTGTTTGACTGCCTCCCTGCGAGACCTGCGATCACGAAGCCAACGGGGATGGGGAAGGAGGTCAGGAAACCCAAACTGTGGGGATACTTTGCATAGAAGTTAGATGCGCCTGCTCCAGCCCCACTCCTCCATACCCTCTTCTGAAACGTACTGACCTTCTACCACCATATCTTGTTCCAAACAGTCAGCGGCAA